ATGAAGTTTTTTTGAGAGCAGTGAGAAACTAATTGATGACAGAAGAATTACGTTCTTAGACGCACCATCTGTCTCTCGCCGTAATGATTGGTGAAAAAAAGATTGTTTAAAAAAAACAAAATAGAAAGTGCGTAATTGATCCAAGAAAAGTCACAATCAATCGTATATAACAAAGCCAACAAACATGTCCACTGAGCAAGAAAGACGCCGAAATTTCGATGATTTTATTGTCGTTTATATTGGCGAAATCGATGATGCTGAAAATTCGATCAGCAACAGACTTGATCTCATTACTGATTCAGTTCAATCATTCAATGATGTGGAAGCAGGTATCGATTATATCCGGCAAGCAAATAGTGAAAAACTGTTCCTCGTCATCTGGGATTCATTGGCTCGCATAGCTGTTGTTCAAATTCAAGATTTACAACAACTCATTGCAATCTATATCATCTCTGCGAACGTGTCATCGACCCAAACTTTGTGGGCTTCGACAGCGAAGGTAAAGGGTGTTTTTCCAGACGTTGCCATTCTTTGCAGACATCTCCGTCAAGACACTCGAGCATTTGAAGCAATTAACACATCGATTAGTACTATTAGTTTAAGTACTGCATTGCCCGAAGATCTCAATACTATCGATCCGTCGTTCATGTGTTCTCAATTACTCAAAGAAATCCTATTAGAATTCAATGATAGCACCGGAACTCGGCAAGAATTTGTTGAATTTTGTCGAAAACATTATGCTGGCAATACAATACAACTGAAGAAGATTGATGAATTCAACCGTAATTATGAAAATTATTCTCCAATATGGCGGTATACAAAAGAATGTTTTCTGTATAAAAAAGTCAATAAAGCGCTTCGAACACAAGATATCGATATGTTGCTTAAAATGGGCTTTTTTATTCGACATTTACACAAACAACTTGAACAACTCTATTCGACCATCTCGACAAATATACCTTTTATTTTGTATTGAGGTCAAAGATGAGTTCTTCTTGTGAATAAGTTCATTGCTAAAAACTCTTGCACCTATAGAATGTTCAATGAAGAATTCAAAAACCTTAAAAAGAACGTTGGTAATCTTATTTCATTCAATAATTTCCTTTCAACGAGCACCAATCGTGATGTTTCTCTTGTCTTTGCTTCGAACCCAGTTCATACAGAGAACGTAGTCGCAGTTTTCTTTGAAATTTACATCGATCCATCAATTCGACCGACACCATTTGCTTCGCTAAATGGAATTAGCTTTTATCCATCTGAAGATGAAGTTCTCTTCTCGACGCATTCGATCTTCCGAATTGTAGATATTGAACACATGTACAATCGTGTTTGGACTATTCGATTGAGATCGACGAATGATGATGATGCTCAATTGCGTTCTCTCACCGACTTCATGAGACGCGAAATTCATGGTCCAAACCCTATGCACCGTTTGGCATCCTATGTGTTAAAATTGAATCAGTGGGATAAAGCAAAAGAAATTTTCGAAACTCTTCTTCGCGAAGCACCTCCTTCAACAAAAAACAAACTTGCCTATATCGAGCATTGTCTTGGATGGATCTATGAAGAGAAAAACGATTTTGAACAATCGTTGGCACATTATCAACATTCACTCGATATCGACATGACCTATCTTCCCAATGATCATCCTCAACTAGCAACAATCTATGCCAATCTTGCTTGTCTCTATGAAAAGCAAGAAAAATACGATGCAGCACTCGAAAACTATCGACTTGCTCTTAAGATCGAGTTGAAATCGCCCTATCGCAATCAGCTGAGGATCGCTTCACGCTATATGAATATGGGTGATCTCTTTCGTCAACTTGGACGTTATGATGAAGCACGTAAAAGTGTCAAAACTGCCTTGAACATCCAATTGGAAATACTCCCACATACTCATCCCGATTTGGCCAAGACATACGGTCATTTGTTTGGCATTTATCAATCAATGGGCGATTATCACACCGTATTTGAACATGCAAAAGAAGAATTACACATTGCACAAAGATGTTATCCAGCCAATGATTTCGCTCTCGCAATTGCTCACAATAATGTTTCGGTCGCTTTAGACAAACTCGAAATATATACAGAAGCATTGAAGGAATCTGAAGAAGCAATGAGAATAGCCCGACAAACATATTCGTTAGATCATCCCAAAATGCGTGTTTATGTCAATTCATTGAAAGCACTGCGCTGTAAGCAACTATGCAGTTCTCACTAATAAGACTCTAAATCTGTTTCCATTTTGACGTTCTTCGTATAATTGGGATATTTTCTTCATTAGCGTTTTTAAAAGAATTTCTCATATGTCCAAATTCAGGAGAAAAGATAACCTACTACACTTACCATTTTTTATGATTAGATTAGTGTATCTTTGAGTAAGTACCGTTTTTTTATTGCTAACTTACATTTTGACTATAATAAAACATTCAATCATACATTTTTTGAAAATGAACAGCCCGATGCGATGATGTACTAATTTACAAAATTCCAAGAAATGTAGGATCAGATCGATTTACTCATTCAAATTCTATGACTTCCCACACAATTTGTTTCTGTATTCATTTTGTTGAACTGTCCCAACTGGAATTTGCGAGTTTGAATCCATTTCTTCATCGTATACCTGTTTCTTTCCCAGATGCCTCACTTATCTTCTAATCAGACGAGAGAAAATCTGAAGTGCTATGAAAAAAATGTCCACATTAGTCGAACGGTGTGAGCGAAATAACTTGCGGGTGTTGGTGTGGGTGTGGTTGTTACTCTTGTTATCACCCACACCCACACCCACATCCTAGTTTTTTCATTTGTCATTAACCTTCTTTCATTTATTTGTTTTTCTAAATAAATAAGAATGAGAACAATAAAATTATATTAGTTAATAATCATATTTATTTATTTACAAATTTTTCAAAAAAGATTCATTTAAAATATAAACTTTCTTTAAATATTTTTAATAAAAATACAATAAAACAAAACATCCATCTTTGATTAACATTCATTCAAAAAGAAAACGAAATGTTCATTCATCAACAAATGTACAAGTGAAATGAATAAATCTTATGATAATGTATGCTATAGGGATTCTTCAATGTCACCAATATAAGTTTCATTGTTATGAATATTTTCATTATTTGTCATTAAATGGACTTTTTTCTTACATTGAAAACATTTTTTACTAAATAAACATCGATCATAAAAAGCAAGTGATCGAAAAGGAACTGGTAACCATAACCATGTTCGCAATGGAGCTGGTAAAAACTTTGGTTTGTATCTTTGAAGAATATTTATTAGAATAATTAAGATAATAATTAATACTATTGGACCAAGAACACCACCAAAAACATACCTAACACATAAAATTAATATAATATTAAATCTAATATTCAACTTACCATCCAGCAAGTGAAAGACCAAAAACAATCAAAGGAATAACAAAGAATGAACAGACTATATAAAGAACAGCAAACCATCGATATTTAGCTGTTATTTCACCTAGCTTTTTAGCCATTGGAATTGGAAATCGCATAAATGGAATTGGAAACCA